TTTTATATCTCAAAATTTGCAGCTGAATTAGAACCATGAAATTTGTAGGAATTGAACTTTAGCCCGTAGTGGTTTCTCAGTTTTTAAAAAACCAAATAGCATAAGTTATTAAATCATTTAGTATATTACCAAGATGATCGTGAAATTGTTGAACTAAGCTCAGTTTTTAAAGAACCATGGAATATGCAGGAAAAAATTGTTCAAATGAAAGGCGAAGCGGGCGAAGTGAGAGAATCAGAGAGAGCAGCCAGAGAAACAGAGAGAGAAGCAACATTTCAGAAAAAATATGAAGAACTTTAAAATCAAATTGAAGCTATGAAACAGATGATGTAGCAGAATCAAACGAATCATCATAAGTGTTTTCTTAGGTTAATGCTTTGTTTATGTTATGAAAAAAAATGTTGAATTACATTATCTTTAACTTGGATGTTAGTAAACTTTGATTTATTTATGTTTTTATGTATTATTACTTCATTCGAATCGTAATTAAATTTAAGATGGTTATTGGATATTTTACTGGTTAAACTTGTGTAATACAAAATAGGAAGAAGATATGTTGAAAATCAGTTTCGATTAGAGGCGTTTTAGGGGCAAAACGCCACTAACAGAGTGTATATTTGGCGATGTTTTTTAACCAACCTATTGCGGCGTTTGTGACAAAAAATACCGTTAAATAGAAAATTTGTTGCGAAAAACGCCTTTAAATATCAAATCTATTGCGGCCTTTGTTCCCCAAAACGCCGCTATATGGCAAACTTGTTGCGGCGTTTATATACTAAAACGCCACTATATAATTTAACCTTTAGCGGCGTTTTAGTACACAAACACCGCTATTTAACCTGACTTTTAGTGGTGTTTATTAGTATTGAACGCCACTAACAGTTGCGACGCTTTTAAACGCCGCTATAGACCAATTCGGCTGTAGTGGAACGATAAACATCCCATGGTTTCCATCAAACTTCAAGACTACAGATGATGCATAGCATGAAAAACTCAATATTCAGAAATTGACCTTCGAATTTCGATCATCAACGTCTCCTTCCTAGTCAGCATCCGAGAAAACGGAAATCGACGACCACCGAGAATGCTCAATCATGATGAAAACAACATCGTGTATGAGATAAGTATTGTTTTGGTGGCAAGCAGGACATAATACTTGGAACCTGCTTCGTGGCAATCTTATATTCTATAGGCTCTGTGTAGCTACTGTTAAATATTTTACTGGACAAAAATGTAACTTTCGAAAGTTTCAGATAAGCATCCGTCCAAGATAATGTTTTATCTCTGCCACCCTGAAATTCAACCTTGGAAAAATGGAGGGCAGGCTGAATAAATAAGTGGGAACGATCAAATAAAGATCTATGTGATCTGCAATAAAATTGGGTGGTATAATAATTAAATAAATGATAAATTATACCCATGAACACTTAATTATGAGGAGATTTCAATTTGACCATTGATCTTTCAATTTTATCGATCGGATCATTTAATTATTTAAATGATACAAATTCAATCATCTATCGTTAACATTTAACAGTTGAGTTAATAAAATTAGTATAATTATACATTTAATCCTCAATTCTTACATATTCTTTTTAACTACCACATCAACTTGTTCATTAAATCTTAACGATTGATGACTTGATTAATATCATTTAGATAATTATATGATCTAATTGATGAAATTAAGAGATCGATTGTTAAATTAATTTTTTTTCATAATTAACTAGTCATGGGTGTAGTCTATCCTTAAATAACTATTTCCTAAATGAATACTGATTGGTGAATACTTAATAAAAGAAGAAGAAAAAAAGAATAATGTTAGTAACCATTTTTGTTAAATAAGATAAAGTAGTGACCAAATTATAAAGGAGATAATGTACCGGTGACTAGTTAGTATAATGTACCTTTTATATTTCTGCTCGATACAACCTTCTAGTATAGAGAAAGAATAGCAGACAGACGACCATTTTCTCTTTAGACACCAAAACAAAACACCTTTTCTTTTTAACTTCCTTTCCTCTCTTCCTCCTCCGGCCATGACAGACAGAGTATACCCTTCTTCCAAACAACCCACAAACAGCACCGCCTCCGCCGCAAATCCTTCGTTTCCCCCCACTAAATCCACGCTACGGAGCAGCACGCCCTCTCTACCGCCCCCAAACCAAGCGCCACCGTCGCTCATGCTGTTGTTCATGCTGCCTCTGGACCACCGTAGCTATCCTCGCAATTATCCTCCTCGCCGCCATAGCCACCGCTATCCTGTACGTCCTTTACCGTCCACACCGCCCTACTTTCACAGTCTCCTCCCTCAAAATCTCGACTCTCAACATAACATCGTCTTCAAAACTCATCACCGACATCAACCTCAACGTAGCAGCCAAAAACCCGAACAAAAGACTCGTCTACACGTACGACCCCATCGCCGTATCGCCCACCATGAACGACGGCATCGAAATAGGCGACGGTTCGTTCCGTTCCTTCGTGCATGGCACTAAGAACACGACCCATTTGAAAGCCGCCATAACTAGCAGCGGCAGCCAAGAACTCGATGATGGTTCCGCCGGGAAGTTAAAAGCTGGTTTGAAGAGCAAAAAGGGTCTGCCATTGAAGATGAAGCTTGACACCAAAGTGAAAGCAAAGATGGGAGCTTTGAAGACGCCAAAGGTTGGGATTAGGGTTGTTTGCGAAGGGATTAAAGCTACTGCTCCCGAGGGGAAATCTGCAACAATTGCTTCAACTTCTAATGCGAAATGTAAAGTTGATTTGAGGATTAAGATCTGGAAATGAACTTTCTGATGTGAAGAATCAAGAAGAAGAAGGTTTGATGTTTATTTTATTTTTCTTTAATTTTGCGTTAATCATTATTTTTGGGGTGATTGTATGTTTTTGTAAATTTTGATCAATGATAGGATATATATACCTTTTAAATATATTTTTGCTTTTTTTTAGTACTTGTTCAGATGTAATTTTGTATATTTTTATTGAATTTTATGTAATTTTATTATGGGGGTAATTTTATTGAATTTTACATAATTTTTGTACTTAATAATAGAAAAGGAATAGATTAACCTTTAGTTTTACCATATATTAAGAAAATAAAATGTCTAAATTTTTTAATTAAATGTATTAACTCTTTGTACCTAATAATAATAAAAATTATTAAATTAAAAATTTCAAACATTTTATTTCTTAATTTAATGGTAAAACTAAAGGTTAATCTATTATTTTTCTATTTTCAATAATATACCTTTTATTTAGGGATAACACGTTTTTACGTTTTTACGTTCGAGCATGACGAATATAAAATTTTATATTAAAAGTGATGATTTATAAATTTTAAGAAGATATAATTTTAAAGATTTTTCATAGAAAAATATATAAAATTTTAAATTTTTTAATGGGCGATTAACTGCTATCCTCACATGTTCTGCCTAAGTTCATTCCTAACTAAATTCAAGGAATTTTAATCCATGTGATAAGATTAATTTTATAAAATTTATACTTCAGATCGAGTTAAGTTTTTCAATTAATTTAAGTCTGTTTAAATCTATAGAGAATTCGATTTGAAATAATTAAACTTTGTTTCATGTATTCATATATAATTAATTAGTTTTAAATGACAATATATATGAAAATAAATGTATAAAACAACAGAATTATGGTATTAATTTAAAATTTTATTTTAATTTTATATTATTAAATGATATAGATTAATATTTTATTTAATTATTTTTTCTTTCTCGGGAGGGTTGAGGTTCTTGATGATCTAGGTAATGTGCTCACCCCGAACAACTTTTGCGCGTTCTGGAACTGCCGTTGTTGACCGTGAGGGAAATACGGGGCGAGGATGCAGTCCGGTGCACAGTTCCTACGTTGGTATTTACACGCAATGCAAGCTTGCATCGTACCGCTACTACCGGTTCTCGAAATGCTCATGTTTTTCTTGTGGAGGGATCTCTTTCTCTTTTGTTGTTGATTCGATTGAGAGGATGAGATATCGGATGCGTTGCCGCCGGGGATGGTGCAGCCTTTTTTTGTATGTTTTTAATTTTTAAAAAAGAGGAATGCTTATTTCTGGAGGAAAGGAGGGAAAATAAGAGATGGAGAGAAAAGAAAGGAATGAAAGACGTAGGTATATGAAGGGGAAGGGGTCAAAGAAATGAACAGTTCAACAAATTTATGTTAACTTCAAAAGATTTGCCAACTTAAAACAGATTTTCATTGTTCTAACTATATTTAACTTGGATTTCGGATTCGATTAGCTCGAGGTGACATTCGATAAGTTTCGACTCGAATGCAATACATGAACAAAGTTCTATCAATCTTATTGGAACTTTCATTAGAAAATAGAAATTTTTTATGAACATCCAGTTGCCACTCCCAGGCATTGAGACTCGGTGCTATACATGAGCATCAATGGTACCAAAAAGAGAAAAGGAAAAGGAAAAGATTGCATCTGAACATGATATCAAGAGTTCTCGAATTCCGAAACAAAGAGGTGAATATGATCTGATTCCATGCTGCAGGGGATTCCGTTCGACCCAGAGAGCATTCGACCTGAATGCAGCAAGAACAATAATCGGTACCAAAGAATCAAAGAAGAAAGCACATCCGGTGTATGAAAGTGGCATCATACAAGAACAGCATAATCAAGCAATTCTATCATAGGATAAGTGTATCAGTAACAACAGACACTATGGTAGCAGCAACGTTCTCCGATATATAGGTGGGTATTTGTCGCCACGGTCTGGTTTTCGTGTTCATTACTCGAAAACTCGTTCAACGGAAAGATTCGTTTTGCTTCCTTTGAGTTCATGGAACACAAATATGAGCATTTACGTAGTTCGGCATCTTCACATGCACGATATGCACTCCCTAGAACACTATAACACTATCTATTAAGAGTAAACACTCTTTCACATATTTCTTTTACACAAAACACAAAAGCAATGCATATAGATCATGCAGATTGCACTATCCATTTCCTTACCTGTGAACTATGGCTCGCTCTTAACGAGGTCTTCAACAGTGCTTCTAAAGTTGGCAATCAAATCCCTTGAATTTGGAAGAAAAAACGAATTGTACACATTGAACACTTGGAAAACTTAGACTGCAGATGAAAATACAAATGCAGAAACCAACTACTTACCTCCTTTGATTTAGCAATTGTTCACTTTCCCCTAGCTTTTTGTTTTGTTCCTCAACAGTCTACAAATTCAACATCCAAAAAATTTTCAAGTTATTAAAAAGGAACACAAAAATGCCAACACGTTTGCACATGTTAAGAGGCTATCATCTATGTTAAGCTTTCTTGAATAGTTCGACTATCGTATTATCCCAACATCGATGTCGGAAATGTGTAGGAAACATGAATAAACAAATGCAGAGTAGACATAACATTCTCTGTAGGAAAAAGACACTGAAAACTGAGACATTTTGCAGAAGTAATGAACCCCTAGCATGTAATGATATATAAGCGGACATTATAAACTATTAAAACCAAAACAAGATTGTTCAGTTAACTAAAGAAAACTGGGTAATTTACCATGTCTTTGGTACTAAGTGATGCCCCAATGGAGTTTAAAAGCTGCTGGCACTTCTCAAAATGATTGCTCAATTCATTTATCTTTCCAAGATCCCACCAAGAAAATAAAAGAAAAAAAATCAAATAATCTACAAATCAAGCGCTAAAACCAAATTATAGAACAAAGAAATAAACCCAAACAAACCAAAGCATCAGAATGCTGATCACGAGTTCCATTATCAATTGCATCACCCAAACTCTCCACCAACTGCAGAACAAACCCAGAATAAAAAACGATTTTTAAAAAAAAATGAATTAAACTTTAACCATTTTTAAAGAGAATACATGCGAGAGGTGGAAATGAGAAGCTAGGGACTGGTGATTCTGATTCTGCTCCACTTCCTGTTGTTGTTCTTGTTGTACGATAGGCTGTTGTTGCTGTTGATGTTGTTGTTGTTGTTGATCTTGATTTGTGGGAGTAGATACGTTACTGAGGGATGGGATGCTTGGGATTGTAGTTGAGTTTTCTTCTGCTGTGTTTGGTTCCATCGTGTTTGCTTCAATGGCTAGCTTCCTCTGCTTAATTTTTATCTTTGCCGCCATTGTCGGCGCACAGTTCGACATAGATATGGGGGCCCTCTCACTGCCCTTTAACCATTTTTCCCCAATTACATTCTGCCGCGTGTTCTAATGGGATGCGTCTTTAAAAATGATTTTTCCCCCAAAAACATATTTGGATAAAATATATGTTTTGTTTGCAACTGAATTTTTTGGCTGAAATTATTCATATATTACATTTGGATTTTTTTTAATTTTAAATAAATTATATATTATTTTTTTAATTTATTGCACTTGTTCCAGTAAAAGTGAAATCGACCGGATTAATTATTTAAAAAAAATTGAACTCGGTATGAAATTCGACCGATTTTATTGTGTTTGAATTTTCCATTTAAAAAGAACAGTGAAAGTTTATAATGGCATCAACTTCAATTTACTGTAGCAAATATAATAGATTAAAAAAAATAAAAAACGAGTCTGCATCATTTCTTGTTCGTTTTCGTTCATTTCACTTTAATCGATCAAACGAACGAATACATATAATTACATGAACATATTTTCTTGTTCGTTTTCGTTCATATTCAACAACAACAACAACAAAACCATATTCTCATATGCAATGGGGTAAGGGGGAGATAGAATAATAGGCTGACCCTAACGCAAGGTTGAGAGCAGCTTCCGTGGAAGACCTCCGGCAGTCAGAAAAATTAAAAATAAAGATAAAATGCAATGCATGTATAAATAAATAAATAAAATACATAGTTGAACATTCTTCATATGCAGTCTTCATATACGCGTCTGTAATGGGAAGTAATCCCTACAAATAAATCTTTGCGTAAAAATCTCTACATATAGACAGAAACGTAAGACCCGACTAAATTTAAAAATAAGAAACCTGAATAGAAGAATACACAGAAGTCAACGATAGCAAGCTACGAGAAGGAATAAAGTCAAATGGGTTAAAACCTAAACAAATTTAACACTACTCCGCTACCCTAGCTCTAAGCCTTCATAAATTCCAATGACAGAAATGTATAAAAAGTAGAAGTCATGAGAAATACTACAAAGACATTGAAAATAAGAAAGAGATGTTACACCGTATGGCTGTGACCCGCAACTACTCGGCTACCCTGGTCTTTAGTCTTCATATTTTCCTATCAGAGGTCATGTCCTCGGTAAGGGCTAAAATCCTTCAAATCGGATCTCAAGCAGTCTTCCTACTTCCGCCTTGGTCGTCCCCTCTTTCTAGCACCATCGACTTAAATCAACTCTACCCTCCTGACCGTATCCGTCGGTTATCGCCTAAGGACATGCCCAAACCACCGTAGTGTTCCCTCCCTCAATTTTTCGGATACATGTACCACCCCCAAGGACATCCTAATAGCAGAGTTTGATGTCATGTCCCACAGAGTCCTACCACATGCCCATCGAAGCATTCTCATTTCTGCGGCCTCCATCCTCCTTACTTGATCCTTCTTGATTGCCCAACATTCTGATCCATACAACAGCGATGGTCTTATTGTCATTCTATAAAATTTTCCCTTAAGTTTTAGAGGCACCTTCTTGTCACACAAAACTCCAGTAGCAACCCTCCACTTTAGCCATCCCGCCTTTATACGGTGTGTAACGTCATCATCTACACCCTCATATTTATGTATCATAGACCCTAAGTACTTGAAACAATCCTTTGAGGGGAGAATGTGTCCTTCTACGCATACTTCTACATCTTTATCGTATTGGTTCCCACTGAAGTTTGAACATAAATACTATGTCTTTTCAATATTGATTCTTAGACCTTTTTCTTCCAAAGCAATCTTCCAGGTAGCCAGCCTACTATTCAACTCAATTTTTGTTTCAGCAACTAGGACAATGTCGTCAGCGAAAAGCATACACCATGGAACACCGTATGGTGTCGCACAATAGATGTCGTCCATAATCAAGGTGAAAATGTAAGGGCTAAGAGCCGACCCCTGGTGGAGTTCGATATCCACCGGGAATGCCTCGGTGTCGCCAACTGTAGTCCTGACGTATGTAGTAGATCTACAGTACATATCACGAATCTTCATGATATAAGCAGTTGGGATCCGTCTCATTTCCAAGGTCTTCCAGATCGTATCGCGGGGAACGCTATCATACGCCTTCTCAAGGTCAATGAACGCCATGTGAAGATCTATATTTTTTTTCTATATTTCTCCATAAGCCGTCGAAGTAGATGAATAGCCTTCGTAGTAGACATGTCTGGCATAAAGCCAAATTGGTTTTCCGAAACCCTAGTAACCTGTCTCAATCTAGCCTCTATCACCCTTTCCCATAGCTTCATGGTATGACTGAGTAGTTTAATACATCTGTAGTTGCCACAACATTGGGGATCTCCTTTATTTTTATAGATTGGTATCACCGTAAACTCTCTCCACTCCTCTGGAATCTTGGAAGTCTCTAAAATAATATTAAAGATGTTGGTCAACCACTTAACTCCCTCTTCTCCTAGGGCCAACCACACAGTGATAGAAATTTGATCTGGACCGACAGATTTATCCCTCCCCATCTTTCTAAGAGCTATTTTGACTTCCTCAAACCCAATCCTACTTGTAGGGTAATCATTTGCCGTAGTATGATAGTCGGCTGACCTATCAACAGTAGTATTTGTACAGGGAGAGGCACCGTCATTAAATAAGCCAAAGAAGTAACTACCCCAAACCCTCTTAATATCATGATCTTTCACTAAAAGAACACCATTGTTGTCCTTAATAAACCTAATGCTACCTAGATCATTTTTCCTATTTTCCCTGGATTTTGCAAGCCTGAAGACGTCGTTTTATCCTTCCTTGGTGTCTAATCTCTTGTACATTTTCTCGTATGCCTTATCCTTTGATTTAGCCACTATTTTATTGGCTTCCCACTTTACCTCCTTGTATCTTTGTTTAGCTCTCGATCTTTCTTTGTCGTCATTGCATTGTAGAAACTCCTTGAAGCAATTTTGTTTTGTCTTCACCTTAGTTTGGACTTCGTCGTTCCACCACCACGATTCTTTATGTTCATTGACCTTCCCTGACGATAACCCAAGGGTGTTTTTGCCCACCTCTCTGAGGGTATTTGCTATATTTTTCCATAACATATATGCATTATTTGAGTTTGTAGTTACAAAACCTGTATTAGACAAAACCTTACTCCTAAAGTCATCAGCTGTCACTCCATGTAAGTTCTTCCAAAGGATCCTAGGTTTACTAAGTTTAGCCCTCCTATGAATGCTACACCTGTGGCATACACGGAATACCAAAACCAACAATATATGTTGTGATGCACATGCATCTTCTAGGAATACGTTACAGTCAATGCAAGCACATCAATCCCGATTTTGAACCAGGACATAGTCGATTTGGGTACAATATCCCCCGCTATGGAACGTAATCAAGTTCACATCTCGCTTGTTAAAGAATGAGTTAGTGACCACCATATCGTGTGCAGTAGCAAATTCAAACAACGTACGCCCCTCCTCGTTCCTACTACCAAAATCAAAACCCCCATGAACACCGTCATACCCGTCGATTGCACTACCTATATGGTCATTGAAGTCTCCCCTTATGAAAACTCTTTGGTCCTTCGGAATGCTCTTAAGTATATCATCTAACTGATCCCAGAAGCAACGTTTCTCCCCTTCCCTAGGCCAACGTGTAGGACATACACTGAAAGGACATTCACCACTTTCGCTTCTATAATAACCTTAATCATCATAATCCTATCCCAGTATCTACAAACTTCAACTACATTTTCCTTGAGCCTAGAGGATACCAAGATACCCACCTCATTTCTAGCGTTATCTACACCTGAATACCACAACTTGTACCCATTACACTCTCTGGCGCGAGCCCCTTTCCACCTAGTCTCCTGAATTCATGCAAAATCTATTTTTCTATTACTAAGTACGTCAGTCAGCTCCAGCAGCTTAGCATTTAATGTACCTACATTCAACGAACAAACTCTAAGTCTAGTCTCCTTGACACCACTCTGTCGAGCCCTCTCCCTATATGCCCTATGGGATCTAAAAGGACATGACCTCAAATAATCATCTATAGCCGAAGCTATGAGGAACTATGAAAAAGAAATCCAAAGAAGACATAAGATGCACACTCACAGTAACTGACGCTCAAGTAAGGTGTCTCTTTCAATCCTTTAAAACCAAATTGAATAAAAAAAATTAAACAAAATATGTGAACTCTTTTCTCCTTCCCACTTCCTTCACTTTTTCTTAGCTACCAAACAAATAACAATGCAACCAAACCCAAAACATAGTTATGCCAAAATTTCAAAAAATAAAATAAAAACCCATTTTTCCAATAAAATCACTTACAAAGAATAATAATAAGGCAGATAAGCTTAGGTATAAGAATTATACAAAGAGAAAAGATCGTGCTTGGATCTAGATCACAACGCATGTTCTTCAACTAAAACTGAAGTGTTTTTACTCAGATCTAACGGTGAGAAGAGTTAAAAATAGAGAAAAATCCAAAGAAATAAAAGAACAAAGCAAAAGCAAAAGCAGAAGAAATAAAGAATCATGTAAAGTCTTACCTAAATGCAGAGCAATGTAGATCTGGTGAAACCAAAGTAAGGAAGCAAAGTAAAAAGTATCAAAGTGAAAAACATTTATGTAAAAAGCAGAATAAAGAATACCATAAAGAAATATGTAAATAATAGGAAAACAATCAGATATTCAAAGCAAAAGAAAGTGAGATTGCAAACCAGACATAATAAACAAACATAATAAACATAAACCACAACAATAATAACCACATAAAACTGAAGTGTTTTTACTCAGATCTAACGGTGAGAAGAGTTAAAAATAGAGAAAAATCCAAAGAAATAAAAGAACAAAGCAAAAGAAATAAAGAATCATGTAAAGTCTTACCTAAATGCAGAGCAATGTAGATCTGGTGAAACCAGAGTAAGGAAGCAAAGTAAAAAGTATCAAAGTGAAAAACAATTATGTAAAAAGCAGAATAAAGAATACCATAAAGAAAGATGCAAATAATAGGAAAACAATCAGATATTCAAAGCAAAAGAAAGTGAGATTGCAAACCAGACATAATAAACAAACATAATAAACATAAACCACAACAATAATAACCACATAAAATTCATTACCGTAAGCTGCAACTTCATGTTACCGAACATATGTAAAACCTAAAGTTATTTGAAAAAGTGTATGGCCTAATTAACACATTTAGCAACCATTAATTCTTCTTGTTTGAAAAAGTGTGTTTCTGTATGTCGACTTTAGGAATTAACAGTCAATGTTTTGATACAATTGAAGAACAAATGGGCAAGTAAAACCTACAATTATTTTTTTCTAGAAACAAAAAAAAAAACAACGCAAAAGAAAGGGAGTCAACCCGGATCTATTGTTTAGAAGGCAGTCATCCCAACCGTTGAACCACTGACGCTTGCTTAATGCATTTTATACCATTCTTTATATATATATATATATATATATTACTATTGATAAGAATAAGGATTTTTGTGTGCAACATTGAATGCCTAATGAGTAATGAGGTTTATATATATATGTAGGATATAATTACATAGTAATAATTTATATTACTATTAATCATTATATTTACATTTCAATTTGTATAGACATGGTAATAATTTCTAAATGTTTATTTTATCAAACATTGGACATCATATTTCTGCCTTATTTTACTGTTTATTCTTTTAAGCATTTCAATGAGAAAAAAATATTTTAAATCCATTAAATTTCATTTTTAACGTTTTGATGTAAAACGGGTGCATTTATTTAATTAAATCTGAATTTCTTTAGTAATCTTAAAATTTTATCTTTTTTTGGACATCGTATCTGTAACGCCCCCAAAATACGGGTTAGAAGTTTTGAGTTTATTTGATTTGGACTTTAGAATAAATCTTCTAATGTGGACTTTAATGTGAAGGGACTAAGGAAGTAATTAACCTATTTTGACCCAAGTGGCATTTGATTTTGGCTTGGGTTGAGCCCAACAAGTAATAAAAAGGGTGTTTTTAATCTGGACTCTAATGTGAAGGAACTAAGGAAGTAATTAACCCATTTTTCAAATGGAAGGTTGATTTCCTAATTAATAGGATGATATCACGTCTGAAACCCCTACCTCTTTTTCATCCCATGCTTTGTCTTCTTCCTCTCTTCTTTTTCTTCTTTTTCCCTTCCAAGTCAAGCTAAAACTTGAATCTTTAAGAAATTGAAGCCTCGTTAGAGAATTCCTAGGTAAGAACTATAACCCTCATCTCCCAAGCTTTCATTTAAGCCATTTTTTGCAAGGTTTGGGTAAGTTAACCAAAAATTAGTTTTAGAGGGGTTTATGGAATCTTGAAGTTTAATCCGTTTTTAGGAGAGTTCTGAGTTGTAGGATCGTTTTAACACCTTCCTAAGTTCTAAAAGGAGTTAATAACTCATTTTCCATGGTTTTGATTAGTGCATGAGCAAGGAGAGAGCTTAAAGGCTATAGGCAAGGAATAGTTGGTCATTGGGTGATTTGAGAACGTTTTTTAGTCACCTAGCTTCAAGGTAATACGTTTCTAACTTGATTGTACTGCATGTAAGTCATTGTGTGCGCATTTTGGTATGTTTTGGTTCATATGAGCATGCTAGAAGATTGTCATGACAAGATTCGTATTTGTTGTTTGTAAGCATGAAAGTTGATAACTTTTGACCTCTAAGACCTCAAGTAAGGCTTTAAAAACATTTGTTTGTCTTACGGGTGTGAATGGCTGAGATTTGGGTATGTTTTTGTGCTCAAAACAGAGTATACTGGTCCGTCAGTATTGGTACTAGAAGAACGGTACTGATATTGTTCTTCGTGAAAGGCTAAAACCGAACATATTATAAGGGTAATATCAATATCCCTTCAAGGAGTATCGATACTCGGGGTCTAGTATCGATACTCAGAGGGTCAATATCGATACTAAAGTATTTTTGAAAACATCGAAGCTGATTTTGGTGTCGATACTCATAAGTATCGATACCTAGGATAGAGTATCAATACTCCCCATAGGAGTATCAATACCCAAGTATTTTTCAAAACATCGAAGCGAATTTTGGTATCGATACTCAGGAAAGTATCGATACAGTTGGCCCAATATTAATACCCACAAATATTTTGGACGATTTTGGTTAAATTGTTTGAGTGTTTGGTCTAAGGTGTTTTGAGTCAGTGTAAGCTACAAGTATCCAAAACAAGTGAAAATAATTAAGATCACTAATTTCTCACCTAGAAAACAAGCAAGTTTGGATGTCATAAGATTTACCATGTGTGACATTCAGGAAACGGTTCAGACACCCGAGTTACTCTAGCTTTATGACGATTGTCATTTGTTTGTAAATATCAGGATATTGTTTGTTTGATACGCATCCGATGCACGTAAATTTCGAGTCATACCAATACGAATTTTGATGCACGTATATTTTAGAATCGTACCATATTCTCGACTAGGTACGAAATGTGAGCTTCCGATGCACGTAAATTCCAGACCTCACCCTGATCTCTCAAGGATCTGAGGTAGACTAAAAGCCATAAGTTCCGAAACACGTAAATTTCGGTTCTTACCCCAAAGCTATCATGTTTTGGATAAGCTAGTGTGTTGTCCGAGATGCACATAAATTCCTCCGACCACACCACTTGGCCTATCTCCTGTTGATACGTACTTATGCATGTTTATGAGTTTGCATTCCGGCATGTTCATGTAATGAAGACATGTAGTATTACATGGTCAGCGGATGGAATGTGTTTTCGTACGCATGTTAATGGAGGATCGTTGAGGGAGCCTATCGCATATGTTCATTCTAGACTAGCCGATTTTAGAGTATGTCTTGGGTATTTGTAGAAGGCATGTATTCTATATGGACCTTGTGTATTTGAGTCATAACTCTATTTTGATTTTAAACCTCATGATTGTATTGTACGTATTTTGGGAGACTCACGTATTTTGTATACTTTATTTCGACTCCGTATATGATATGATGGATGATTTTGATAATTATAAACTGTTTTAAAAAGAAATTTTTGGGTTGATCATTTTGGTGGTCCCGTGTGACATCGTAATCCACAGATCTTCGGGTCGAACTGGATTAGAGTGTTACAGTATCTTCTAGTTATTGTTTTAATTTCCATACCTCTAAACTTGAGCAAGTATTTATGAACATTTTATAATGAAGAATTAAAGGTTTTGAATAATCATCATGTACAGGGATGAAGCAAAATAGTTTTATATAAAAAGATCAATAATCTATTGAGTATTTAAATCTAAAAATTGGGGAATAAAACCCTTATTTAACTAATATTTAAATTAAAAATAAGCTAAAATGCTAGTATACCAAAAAGTTTAGGAGGGACAACAACCAATCTCATGCATCATGTAGATCCGTCCCTGATCATATATATCTATTTATATGTTGATTCAAACGATATAAATATAATATGATTTAATTATAAAAAACATAAAATTCAAATTATTAGAAATGCAATAATATTAAGTACTTCAATATTTGATAGGAGAGTTATATTATTTTGTGATTTGACAAGATTGAAACTGTTAAATAAATAGACAAAGAATACTTGTAGTTCATAAAAAATATAAGTTAAAAATAATCAAATTGAACAAGAAAAACTAAAGCTAACATTTATATATATATATATATATATATGTGTGTGGACTAATAGCCTAATTTGATAATTATTATTAAGGTCAAGATTAAAATTTTAAAATTTTAAAAGTGTAAGAATTAAAATTGAAAATATACAAAATAAATTAACGATTTATGTATAGTAAGTAATAGAATAATACGATATATAGTTCTAAATGAAATCTTATATATATTTAATTTCTTTGAATCCTAGAATGAATTTGCGTCACAAACTAACTTATATATAATACGTTGTACTTTGAGGGTCTGTAATTCATTCATTGTATTGGAGCTTTACATATTTTGTATAACTACTATTAGAGTATTATTTTAATATGACTATTTAATAATATTTTCTAGTAATTAAAATGTATTTCAATATTTAAAAACTGTAAAGTTATAATGATAATCTAATGTAATATCCTCGTCTTCGGATATTCTGTATTCAAATTTAAGTATTACACTTGAGCTTAATAGGGCACAATTACTTCATATTGAGCTAAACAACTGCCACTGTAGAGCCTGCCTCCTTCCCTCCCATTACAGCACAACGGAAGATACTCGCCGATCAAGTCTTCAAGACACGTCTTACAGTCACTCGGGGAAAGATCCCTCGTGCACTGAGCTATCCCGTAAACTCTCTGCAGTCCTTGCTCCTGTAACTCACCGTAGGCATACAGTGTGCTGTTTCTAGAAGCTTGGTTAGTCAGTCGACTCAGCAATCTTTTGGTCTGCCGATTAAACGCTGCTGGATTGTTCGCGTTGTTCGGGTTCGGAATGTAGAACTTGTTCTGAGTATCGATCTCGCCGAAGAAGTCTCTGTTTTCATACTTGACGAGGCAATCGTAATACCAGATGATTGCACCTCGTTTGTTGGGGCAACGCTTTTGTATCTCGACGGCCGCTTCTTCGACACAGGATTTACAGTCTTGGCTCGACATGTCGCCTCTGCAGAGGGCGAGGCCGTGCACTCGGGCCGGCGGTTGGCCGACGGAAGCTCTGCCGAACCCTGTTCGAGGAGTTCGAACGGAAAGGGCGTTAAGGAGGTCCTTCAAGTTGACTGCATAGGGACTGTTGGCAGCGAAAATGGAGTTTGAACAGTTTTGGGATCCAAAAGCCTTTTGGAGAAGGAAAGCGAGGGCTAGATGATAAACAAAGAAGACAAATCTTGAAGAAGACATTGTGATTTAGTTTGTTTGAACTTTGGGAACATGAAGGTTGTTATTTATAGGGAAATATTTCCAGGCTGACCGGGGACAAAATTACGGTAATAACCTTTGTTACTTACTTTTGGAAATTTATTTAGGTTCTTAACTTTGAGGTTGTGGGATCGAGTCTCACGGAGGGTATTTTATAATTCGGAGGTCTCCCACGGAAGTTGTTCTCAACCTAGTGTTGGGGACATCCTATTATCTTACTTCTTTCTTACCCCATTACATATGGGAATAAGGGTCAACTAATTTATATGATGTTTTAACCTTTTTTTTGGGTGCAATAAGTTTTGTTTTTTCAGTGTCATTATATATGTTAATTTTAATTTGTTTCATACTTATAATATTAATGTCCGTTAATTAAAGAAATAACATGTGTTATACATTTAGAAGAAATTAAAATTTCAAGTCAATTTAAGAAATTTATTAGATATCTATTTACAACATTAAAAGATATGTAATTATATAGAAAAATTGCGTTCTAAATATTAAAGTTATACTTATTATTACAGTTATAATCTCTAGACAAACTCAAATACTTTATTTTGTCCATCGACAATTAAAAGTCATAAAATGATCATTGACTGTAGAGTGTTGCTTTGTTGAGTCCCTCAATTATCGAAAGTTACAAAATCATCACTTGGCTATTCATTATGTTCGAAACTCTTCATTTTCTGTTAAAAAATTGACAGTCGTCTAAGCTGAACGTTAACATGATGATTGAGTTATGGTATTCACTTGAGATTCTTCGATAAGATTTTATAATATCACAATCAACAAGTTAACATTTAACTCAAAATACCATCAATTTTTAATGGAAAATGACGAGTTTTGAACATAATGAATAGTCGGGTGATCATTTATAACTTTTGATAGTCGAGGGACTCAACAAAGAACCACTTTATAGTTGAAGGACTATTTTATAATTTTTAATAGTCGTGGGATTTAATAAAGTAGTACGCTATAGTCGAGGGACCATTTGTGTACTTTACTCTATATTTATCTAGTATAAAACTTTTAAGTTTTATATATTTTTTAAATTGTTAGATTAATTAAATTTAATGATTGAAACTAAAACTTTTAAATTGATGACAACTTATTATTTTTTGTAAAAATTTATTCTTTTCTTACGATTAATCTCAGTTAATTATTTTTACTCGTAAAACTATCTAAATATATTTATTAATTTTTTTTATTTTTAATTGTGTCAACATTATGAGATTTTTATTTTCTTGCTTTGGTTACAAGTGTCCACGTTTGTGTACATTCTCTATTTTAGGGAAATTAAAATGTTTGGTTTATAATTTGCTTTTAGCTTAGTAGTTTAGGCGTCCTAAAAGTAATGGCACACCAAAAATAATAACAACAATAAATGGTGTACTTTAGGAATAAAAGTTTTGCCATAAATAAAATTTTAATATGTTAAGATAATTAGGACTTTTTGTAATATCCCAACTTTTGGATTAATAACCAAAATGTAATTTTTGAAAGTTTAGTGGATAACATATAAATTTGGAAAACTTTAAGAGACCAAAATGGTAATTTTCCCATAAAAAATTATTTCATAAATGAATAGTTCACTCTCAAGAATGACGTTTTCGTGGGAATCAGATTTGTGATTCGGAATTTGTATAAAAGACTATAAAGAATGACATTAAAAGGTTAATAATGTCATTTTCATATTTTTTTAATTGGTTAAATTTAATATAGATTATTGATTTTAGTGGATTTTTTAGGTTAAATCAATACCGTTGAATTAAAGTGACTATATTGTGATTTTTAAAAAAGTGCAAGGGTAGAGATGGAAACTAAAAAATATTATTTTATATTTACATAATGAGATAAGAAGGATGATGTCATGATGATGGCTTATCATTATTTTTTAATGGTAAATTGGTCTAAATGATATGAATTTTAAATTCATTTTAATTAGTGAAAATGCCAAATGTCTTAAGATTTTTGGAAGAAAATTCAAGACTTCATCTTCTCCATTTCCTCTTCCGTGAGACATAGTAAAAGGTAAGAAAATTTTTATTTTTCATTTTAAAGTCATTTCTTTTGATTTTTGGATTAAAGTGTGAAATAGAGAATTACTCTACATCAAATTCTCTATCATTTGATATAAATATTTCATGGTTTTCTTGCTTGGAACATTGGTTTGGTTATTAGGGTGGATGGAGAGTAAGTTGAAATTCAATGATTGAAGGATGAATTTTGATGTTTGTGATGTAGTTGATTCATTTTCAAGCATGTTTGATGATTAAAATCAATTGGAAATACTTAAAGATGAATTTGGTTAAAGTTAGGGTTTATGGAAAATATTGAATTTTGATTGTTTTTATATGAAAATGATTGAGAATTGTATTAAGGTTGATATATTAAGCTCAAATGCATTACTTGGACACTTGATCATGTTATTTGATATTTGAATTTAAAGTTAATGACAAGGGAACATGTTGAACAAAATGGAAAAGTTGAGATGAATTCTAAAAGAATTCATAATTAGTGGTTAAATTGTGAAGTTGAAAATTATATGTGAATTAGTGATGAATATGGTAATAAGTGACTTTTAAATGTTATGTGACTTTGTGATTCATGCATAAGTGTTCATTTGATAAACTAATAGAATTAGTAAATAAGTTAAGGATGTAAATTAGTGAAATCTACCTAAATTGGTGATATAGAAAGTAAGTTTATAAAGTCACCATAAACTATAAAAGAATGATTAGAAGATTATTTTTATACTGTTGAATTCGTTACCAGACTAGTTTTGTTTAAAACAAACGACTACTGATTTGGAAGTTTATACAAAAAGATATAAAATTTTAATCTATGAAAGGTAACAAAAAACTAGGCAACATATTCTGCTCAAAATTGATTATGTAAGTTGAATTAGAAAAATTGTCATAAATTGCACAAGTTGAATTATAAATATAACCTTATATGGTTAGATCCGTATTCAAGTCTAGTTTCTAATACTACACACAAACTACAAGAATATAAAATTGAGATAAATTATGTATTTTATTATACTCTTATGTCATATGTTATCTTAATTGTTTGAAATTAATCAACTCTATTATCTTGGCATGATAATTATGACATTTATCATATGATGAAATATGATGTTCATAAGTCAAAAACGAAAGTGATAAATGATGTTTCCATGATATGCTTATGTTATATGGAAATGAAAAGTTTAGGGCATGTAAATGATTAAAGATGATTTCGGGTATGAACACCCTACACACATGTATGTGATAAATTGATGTGTTAGTATCTAAGGATACTTTTGACAAAGAAATGGTACATGATTTTATATAAAAAGCACATTGTATTAGTGCATTTCTTGCACTCTTGTATTAATATCTTTGGGTACACCTGTATCAGTGCAATTATGCATTCATGTATCAGTGTAATTATGCACTCCTTTGTTAATGCAATTGTGCACTCTTGTATTAGTGCATTCGTGTACTCCTTTAGTTAGTGTAATTGAGCACTCCCGTATTAGTATCAATGTGTATTCATGAATTAATGCATTCGTGCACTCCTGATTCTAGTGCATTCGTGTACTCCTGACACTATTTGGTGCAATTATGGGTTCATGATGTTATGACGTTATGAACTATCATTTTGATTATAGTATAATAATGTTGTGTCTTACAATACCCATACTCCTGTTTAGCACTTTCGAGTACAATTATACAAGACATTTCGAGTGTAATTATATGAGGCACTTTTGAGTGCATATTATGCACACTCAACGAGACTCACGTATATTACATTCTCGGTTAGTATACATTGGTATGTGATTTGAATATATGAAAGGTTCAAGTTATATATTCTGAAAATAGAAAAGTACAAAATATATGATTGTCATAAAATGTCTTATATATAAGAAATGGTATTTTACAAGTTATGTGATGAAAGAATAACTTTAATAAGTCATTTTTATATGTTCATATATTTTTATATGATAATTTTTGTACTTTGATTATTATGAAATTCTTATATATTGAAATGTCTTACTTTAGTTTGTATATGCTTCACTAAAAGAGAGCAAGTGGAGCAAGTTGAGCTTGACATCAGTCATCAAGGAATAATATAGGTATCAATAATGACATCCTACTGTATTTTGATTTTCTAGTTGGCATGTATACGAATAAGAAATATCTGTAAATTATTAATATGTTAGTTTGGTCATGTTTTTAAATTGGTTTAGAAAAGCTCTGATATGATTTAAAAAAAAAAAATTTAACCGATTTTTTTGTAAGAAAATGTTTTAAAAATATCCATATAATTTTTCTAATCCAAAAATACTTTCCTTCAAATTTTTATAGGCTTTCGATTCGATCTGATTATCCAAATATAATTTTGATCTGTCCTTTAATAAATTTTTATATAAACTCCAAATCAAAATTTTGAAACCCACTAAAATAATTGTTTTGGGCTGAACTAATTATTTATAGACCCAAAATATAACTTTTAAAAATTATATTTTTGGATCTTGAACTTTTACAAAGTTTATACTTTAGCCACCAAACTTTCAAAACTTTTAAAAATGGTTTCCTCAGCTCCATATATGCCCGTAAAGACGTTGTATCTTTTCAACTTCTTTTAAAAGTAGTCAGCTCCATATATACACGTTTATTGAATTTAACAACTGAACTGACATTCAAAACAAAACTAAAACAAAGAAAACATATAACTAAAATGTTTATAAAATGAGCTTGGGTATATTTATGGGTAAAGTACACAAAAGGCCCCCCGATTTTAGGTTATTGCTTTATTTTGTCCCTCGATAATTAAAAGTTATAAAATGGTCCTCAGACTATAGAGTGTTGCTTTGTTGAGTCCCTCGATTATCGAAAGTTACAAAATCGTCACTCGGCTATTCATTATGTCGAAACTCGTCATTTTTTGTTAAAAAATTGGCAGTTGTCTGAGCTTGACGTTAACATGATGACTGAGTTATGGTATTCATTTGAGATTCTTAGATAAGATTTTATCATATCACAGTCAACAAGTTAACATTCAACTCAAAATACCATCAATTTTTAACGGAAAATGACGAGTTTGGAACATAATGAATAGTTTGGTGATCATTTTTAACTTTTTATAGTCGAGAGATTCAAGAAACTAAAACTTTTAAATTGATGACAACTTATTATTTTTTGTAAAAAAATCTTACGATTAATCTCAGTTAATTATTTTTACTCGTCAAACTATCTAAATATATATTAATTTTTTATATTTTTAATTGTGTCAACATAATGAGATTTTTATTTTCTTGCTTTGATAATAGGTGCCACGTTTGTGCACATTCCCTATTTTACAGGGAATATAAAATGTTTGGTTTATAATTTGCTTTTAGCTTAGTAGTTTAGGCGTCTTAAAAGTAAAGACACACAAAAAATAATATCAACAATAAATGGTGTACTTTAGGAATAAAAGTCTTGCCATAAATAAGATTTTAATATGTTAAGATAATTAGGACTTTTTGTAATATCCCAACTTTTGGATTAATAACCAAAATGTAATTTTTGAAAGTTTAGTTGATAAAGTATAAAATTGGAAAAAGTGTAAAAACCAAAATGGTAATTTTTCTATAAAGAAATTTTATTCCGTAAATGAATAGTTCAATTTGTGATTTGGAATTTGTATAAAAGACTATAAAGCAGTAAAGTCCGAAAAAATTCGGATAATCGGATTAAATAAAAAAATTAGTAAAATTTGTAAAATGACATTTAAAGGTTAATAATGTCATTTTTCATATTTTTAATTGGTGAAATTTAATATAGATTATTGGATTTAAGTTGATTTTACATGTTAGATCAAGACCGTTGAATTAAAGTGACTATATTGTTATATCTGGAAAAGTACAATAGTAAAGATGAAAACTAACAAAATATTATTTTATATTTACATGATAAGATATGAAGGATGATGTCATGATAATTGCATGGTAGTAATTATCATTGATTTTTAATGGTAAACTGATCCTTTAGCATGAAATGAATTTTAAATTCATTTTAATAAGTTAAAATGTCAAGTGTCTTAACATATTTTTGGAAGAAAATTTAAGACTTCATCTTCTCCATTTCCTCTATTTGCCGTGACACATAGTCAAAGGTAAGAAAAAAATTATTTTTCGTTTTAAAGTCATTTCCTTTTATTTTTGGATTAATGTGTGAAATAGAGAATTAATCTACAACAAATTCTCTATCATTTGGTATAAATATTTCATGGTTTTCTTGCTTGGATCATTGGTTTGGTTATTAGGGTGGATGGAAGTAAGTTGAAATTCAATGATTTACGGATGGATTTTGATGTTAGTGATGTAGTTGATTCATTTTCAAAGATGTGTGATGATTAAAATCAATTGGAAATATTTAAAGATGAATTTGGTTAAGGTTAGGGTTTATGGAAAGATTGAATTTTGATTTTTTTTATATGAAAATGATTGAGAATTGTATTAAGGTTGATATATTAAGCTCAAATGCATTACTGGATACTTGATTATGTTATTTGATAGTTGAATTTAAAGTTAATGACAATGGATCAGTTTGAACAAAATGAAAAGTGAGATAAATTCTAAAAGAATTCATAATTAGTGGTTAAATTGTGAAGTTGAAAGTTATATATGAATTAGTGATGAATATGGTAAGAAGTGACTCTTAAATGTTATGTGACTTTGTGATTCATGCATAAGTGTTAATTTGATAAGCTAATAGAATTAGTGAATAAGTTATGTGTGCAAATTAGTGAAATCTACCTAAATTGGTGATATGAAAAGTAAGTTTATAAAATCACCATAAGTTATAAAAGAATGATTAGAAGATGATTTTTATATTGTTGGATTTGTATATCAGTCTAGTTTTGTTTTGTTTAAAATAAACGACTACTGATTTGGAAGTTTATACAAAAAGATATGAATTTTAACATATGAAAGGTCAAAAAAGATGAGCAACAAATTCTGCTCAAAATATATTCTGTAAGTTGAATTAGAAAATTTGTCATAAATTATACAAGTTGAATTATAAAGATATCCTTATATGGTTAGATCCGTATTCAAGTCTAGTTTTTAGTATAAACAAAATAATTTTTAAGTGCACATTTAATACAAACTAGTATTTTTTTTAGGATAATACAAACTGCAGGAATATAAAATATATTGAGGTAAATTATGCATTTTATGACACTCTTATGTCATATGCTATCTTAATTGTTTAAAATTAACCGACTTTATTATCTTTTACCCACATTCCTCCTTTATAACAAAGTCAATTTTCTGGAAACAGCTCAAGAGTCAAACATGACAATTGTATATACACGTGTTGACATTTGATAGTTTTCATTGATTTCAGACCATGCATATATAGAATTTTTGTCACCTAATAATTAAGACTCTATACTATATAAAAGTATTTTTGTCAAAAAATAAATAAGTATTTTAAATCGGTTTTAATTTATTTATTGTGTAAATTCGTTAAATGACTTAAGTAGTTAAAAAAATATCATTCTCTTAAATGTTTTGAATTCAAGTAATTGTATCGGTAAATGTTTATTATTATTAATTAAGAACGATTATAAGTTTATTTATAAAGGTTTAAGCGTATATATATTAATACAGTAACTTTATTTATTCATGGGCATATAGTATTTGTCTCATAAAGGTTTAAGCATTAACGAAAGGGTAAATTTCATATCTAAAGTTACAACTGCCACCAACGACCCTACCACCTTCCTTCCCATCACAGCAACTCCGAAGCTCGCCGATTATGCCGTCAAGACACCTCTTACACTCACCGCTAGAAAGATCCCTGGTGCACTGAGTCAACCCGTAAAGCTTCTCCGATCCGTAAAGCTCCGTCTCCACGGCATACATTTTGGGATTGGCATAAGCTTGATTAGCCAACTCAGTGAGCAGCCCCTTGGTCTTCTCATTGAAGGCCTGGGGTTCACTCACGCTATTCAAGTTCCACATGTAGAACCTATTCCGGTTATCGATTTGACCCGCGAACTCCGTGTTCGAATACTTGAAAAGACAGTAATCGTACCAGATGATTCCACCTTTGTTGTAGGGGCATCGCTTTCGTATCTCGCCGCCTGCTTCGACGACACAGGTTTTACAATCTTGGCTCGACACATCGCCCCGGCAAAGAGCGAGGCCGAACGCTTGGTTCGGGGTTTGACCAATGGAACCGAGGCCGAACCCCGAGGGAGGAGTTTGAATGGAGAGATAGCCAGAGAGCTTGCCTAAGTTGGATTCATAAGGATCATGGGCGGAGAAATTCCCAGTGTCTAAACAAAAATGGAAGAGAGGTTCAGCTCCCAAAGCTGTTTGCAGAAGAAAAGCAAGGCTAATTAGCAGATAAACAAAGGAGGGAATTCTTGAAGAAGACATTTTGTGATTTGTAATAAAACCTGAGAAAATTTTCCAAGTTTTGACTAAGGAGAATGATGGGTTTAATTGTAAGAGGACATTTTCAGATTTTAGCAATGGATTAATTATTAAGGTGAGGAGAAATTTTCAAACGCGGGCTGTCGTACTGGCGGCGGCACTAAGATAATGCTGTAAATTAATGGGGTAAGCTAAAAATGCACTCATTCATGCAGTGATTAGTGGAATTAATGTGGGGATTACAATATCTTATATATTGATGTGTGTTTTGCTTTAAATTAGAGTAAAAAAAACTATGTAGCTATAATTTTATGTTAAAAACTGTACGGATCAAATTATCTCGATGGTTAGAGTGATGATTGTTATTCTTAGAAGTCTCGGGTTCGAGCATCAGTGATTGCAAGATAATTCAGCGTTCATTGTCAAATAATTGAGAGGGAGGGGGAAGGATTCATACAATAATTTCTCCTATAACAGACGTTGTTACTTGTAATCAATTTTAGATTAATTAAAAAAAGAGTGCGTAAAATCCATTAAAAAGTAATTTTAGAAAAAATTACCTTCCAAGAATAATGCAAAAAGTAATTTCAAATATGTGACAAGTTTCTATAAAATATAGTTTCGATAAAATATTATATTTTATAGAACACGTTCGTATCTTCTTAACAAGTTCTAAATCATCGTAACAAATATCGTAGATCCTTAAATAATCTTCCACCATCCACCTTCCACTAATTCATTTTTCTGCGCACAATAACTTTTTCTAATTTTGTCTACTTCCAAGTGCTCTTTAATACATGAATGTTTTTATCTCCCAATGGCATCCTTGTACCATGCAATAATTAGTACATATACAAATTTTTAGGTTAGGGAATAAACTTCTAAAATTTTAAGAGATAATGAACTTGTAAAATTATATGGAACGAAAATAAATTATCAATTAAAAGTATAAAAAAAATATCTAGATTAATTTAAAATTTTCAGGGACGACTATCCCGACCTCACCCCTAATTAACACATTTATCAACCATAATTCTTCTTGTTTGAAAAAGTGTGTTTCTGTATGTTGACTTTAGGAATTAACAGTCAATCTCGAAGAACAAATGGGCAAGTAAGACCTACAATTATGTCTCTCGTCATATAATCATATATATTGGAAGCCTCATCTAGAACCTTTTTTAGAAACACCTAATCCGGATTTTTTTTTCTAGAACAAATGGGCAAGTAAAACCTACAGTTATTTTTCTGGAAGGAAAAATAAAAACACGAAAGTGGAAGGACCAAAAAGAATGTGTCGGCCGGGAGTCGAACCCAAATCTATTGCTTGGAAGACAATTATCCTAATCGTTGAACTATTGACGCTTATTTGATACGAATAAGGTTTTTTTTTGCTTAACATTGAATTCCTATTGAGGTATATATATATATTATATATTAGATAGATCTAATTACATAGTAATAATTTATATTATCATTAATCATTATATTTACATTTTAACTTGTATGGGCATAGTAATAATTTCTGAATATTTATTACATCAAACATTGGACATCATACTTTTGCATTGATTTTACTGTTTATCCTTTTAACTATTTCAATGAAAAAAGTATTTTAAATCCATTAAATTTTATTTTTAACGTTTTGATGTAAGACGGGTGCATTTATTTAATTGAATCTGAATTTCTTTAGAAATCTTAAAAATTTATCATTTTTTTATATCATATCTTCTTGTTATTGTTTTAATTTTCATACCTCTGAACTTTAGCATGTATTTAAGATATTTTATAAAGAAGAATTAAAGGTTTTGAACGATCATCATATACAGGGATGGAGCCAGAATCATAAGTTAAAGGGGGCAAAATAATTTTATATCAAAAGATCAACAATTTATTAAGTAGTTAATCTAAAATATAGGGAGACAAAGACCTATTTAACTAATATTTAAACTAAAAAACCCCTAAAATACTATTATACCAAAAAGTTTGGGAGGGGCAACAACCCCTCTCTTGCACCATGTAGATTTGCCCCTGATCATATATATCTATTTACATGTGGATTCAAACTATAGAAATATAATACGATAAATTATAAAAATCATAAAGTTCAAATTATTAGAAGTGTGATAATATTAAGTAATTCAATATTTGATAGGAGAGTTTTATTATTTTGTGATTCAATAATATTGATCTTTGTTTAAACTGTTAAATAAATAGATAAACACTACAACAAAACGATTCAATAGAGGCATTTATAAGTGCCACAAAAAAGCTTCTCGGAGCAAAAAAAAGCTCTGCAAAAAAGGCCAGTAAGACGAGGCCCGCAAACATTAGCGGTGTTTGTAAATAAAAAATGCCGCAATAGATCAGAACATTTAACGACATTTATTTTAGAAACGTCGCAATATGTTTAGGTAATTTAGCTGTAAAAAACGCCATTACTCATTGAGACAAACACACAAGGGTTAAGGGTTAAAAGGGATGTAGCTGCATTTGTCTAAAAAGGCCACTAAAGTACGAATATGTGGCAACGTTTTTTAATAAATTCCACTAACGTAATATCAGTGTTTGTGAAAGAATAAAAAACATCGTTAAGGTTACCATTTTGTGGTGTTTTGGCTATAAACATCGATATATATAAATTTAGTGGTGCTTGGTTTGAAAACGCCACAAAAAACACTGCTATATACATGTTTTGTTGTAGCGAAAGAATACTTGTAGTTCATAAAAAAATAAAGTTAAAATAATCAAATTGAACAAGAAAAACTAAAGCTAACATATATTTAATACATAGACTAATAGCATAATTTGATAGTTATTATTAAGGTCAATATCAAAATATTAAAATTTCAAAAGTGTAAGAAAAGAATTAAAATTGATCAAATTAAAATATAAACAGTAAATTAACAATTTATGTATAGTACATTAAATAATAGAATAATACAATATATATATTGATTATGCTAAAGTGATTATAAAGTAATATCTATTTTAAATATTCTCAACCATTTAATAATGAACGTTCAATGACCCTGTTGTAACCGTTGGTGCTCGAACCTGTGACCTCTAAGTGTAACACCCCAATCCATGAGTTAAAATTTCATATGATATTTATATAATTGGTCTAATTAAAATTTTGGTTATCATAGAATTTTTAAAAGATTGAGGACTTTAAGTATAATTTTTTTTCCTCATTGGTTTTAGTTAATTATAGCCTTCACGTGATTTGTTCAGACTTTGGTTGATATAAAATGATTTTATAATAAAGAAAGAAAACGACCATAAATCACAAGCTTTAATAATTCATTTCGTTCACTGTCGATCTTTTATATTTTTTTTTGTTCTCTCTCTTCATAATCTCGCTTGCCTTGAGATCCTAAGGAAACCATTTGAGTCCTCTCTTCATTGTATCTACCAGATCTTGTAGATTTTTGAAAGATCCAAAATTTTGGAACTTCCAAAGCTTTCGTTTGAGGAAGACAGAAGACAAATAAGGCTTGGCCTGCGTGGTGGGTGGCGAGTTGACTGCTTTTATTTGGCTACCGAGAAAATCCTATTCCTTTTATTTCTAGGTATTTTTCTGTTTGCTTAGGGAGACTAGAGAGGGAAGAAGACAACTTTTTGTTGTTTTATATGTGTAGAGTTGAAGAAAAGATGCAGCAAAATCAGTTGAAGAAGAAAGGAAATAAGAATGGTTCAGCACGTGGGTTTTAGAAAAGTTACTAAGGATAAAGGGTAAATCACAACATGAGTCATCCAAGTTTGGTGAGAATTCAACCATGCTTCTAGTTTCTATGTAGTATGAATGTTGTTTAATGGTTGAATAAGATTATTTGGTCACTTACCTTGGTAGCTAAGTATTATATTGGCATTTTGAGTTTTTAATTTTGTCAATATGTCCTCTGTTACATAAGGATTTTTAATAAGTTATTTTTATGGTGAGAAAATTATTTTAGATTTGAGTGTGTATATTTGAAAGTTTGGATTCTTGAGAAAAAGATTGGAAGCTAGAAATTGAGTTGGTGAGCTTGAATTCAAGAGTTATTGTTTGGATTTTGATGACGTCCTGAGTTTGTTTTTGAGGTCCGTTTTGTCAAAATCGAACCCGATAAGCTGTTTTTCACTGATTTATCACCAATTCGATCCGTTTTCAGAAATTAAGCTCCGTTTTTTATGAAATTTCTATTGTTATGTATTTGAGGAATTATTGGAAGTTGAATTAAAGATCGAGGGCATTCAAATGGAATTTATATGGTCGATCAGTTTGGCACAGAAATCGAGGTAATACTTTACTATCTCTTTATGCTTTATGGAACATGTTGATATTGGTAAATGCATTAATAAGATAATGTTGGTTACTTTTGTGGAGTTGAATAATTTATACGCTCGATATGAATGTGGTAGAAATTTTGTAACTGAATACGGATCGAATGACTAATATAAGAGATTGAGGAATTGTTAGAATTAAATTACAAGTTTGTGATTGGTGATAAAGAAATCAGTCCTGGATTTGTAACTTATATTTTATATCTTCAAAGGTTAAATGGTAAAAGTACTTGGATGAGAAATTATGAGAATACTTCGGTATGGTAAAATTACGAAAATACCCTTATGTTGTAAGATGACAAGAATTGTCCCTGGAAGTTGGTTAATAATTCTGAAAAGACATATTGATCCCAAAAGAAAATACTAGTTTTGCTTAGAAAATTTAATATATAATTATTTAAAAATTACGGATGTGCAAAAGAAATGTTAGTTTTGCTTAGAAAATTTGGATAACTGGTTTTTAACCCCAAAAGGGTTTGTGCAAAATACTATAAGTCTGTTATGGAATCATTTCGAGATCAAAGAATGCTCGGGAAAGCAATTAACCATTGGATTTCTAAAGTATAATTATTTTCGTTAAGAGTTAATACCGAAATTATCTGGTTAAGAAATTATAAAAATGCCCTTGAGAGGTAAAAATAGTCCAAGTTGACTCTGAAGGATGAAGTAACATGAGAACTTATTTTTAAACCGATAAATTACTGATTTGATTGTTGAGATCTTATTTTTGTATGAAAAATTCCTGATAATCCGTTAGTATCATATGAAAAGGCATTTAACCTAGAAATCTCCGACTTGAGTAAGTTCATGAAAAATAATAATTTATCGATGGTGATATTTTGTCAGAATTGTTCGAAATGACTGAAATAAATGATAAGTTTGAATTCGATAATAAGATCGGACGGAAGGAAATGATTATAATACATGTATTTGTATAATCACCAGAATATCCCTAGAATGCAAATGACCAAGAATTTCACCAAGCTCAGGAATGATTGGATACCCTTGAACTCTGAAATGAATGGAATAAAACTGAGCACCAAAATGACCAAAATGCCCTTATGACCTAGAATAAGTAAATGTCTTGGATTAATTAAGAAATCCAAATAAACATGGATGTTGTGCTACCAGTAAAAGTTGTGAAACGCAAATTAAGTGATTAATCAACGTTAGTACTATATCATTACCTGAATGATATAAGTATCACTTGAATGTTTGTTCATCTTCTCAAATTTGGATCGATGATAATTCTGGAAGTACTTGGCGCAGCTCAACTCTAGAGTGCATACAGTACTAATAAGTGGGTAGTCATTAGTCAAATCAACCACGAATCAATGACTTTATATGAATAAATTGAAATGAATGAAGTACAACGTGTATTTGAAATTCAGAAACGTCTGAATTATTCTGGAAAACTTTAAAGTAATCGGGATAGACTTGCTTACCAAACGAACTAAGTAACATCAATGACTAAGGATTAAATAGGTGATTTGATGAGTTTGGAAACACTGTTGAACTTACATGATGGATTGTCATTATGGGTTATGATCCATGGATCAAGTACGTCAGTATTTCCTGATATTGTTGAAACGTGGAAATGAAATAAAGACCGTTGGAAGATTTATTCAGTGATGATTATGGGGATGATCTATGGATCTGCACTATGGTATTAAAGAGTGAATACACTGGAAGGATAATGAATTGACTTGTTGACATGCATCAGTTTAAGAGTTGTGTAACTCGATTTGTTTGATAATACGATCGATAGTCATAGATTGTAAATGACTTGAATCTTCGATTCTATATTTTCATCTAAAATCACTTCGGTCATGTATGAAAATGCAAGTAGCGCAGAAGGAAAAGATTCTGAATACCTCATTTGGTTCAATTGGGCTGAAATCCTATGAATTCAAAGTATATTCCTGAATACCTCTGATTGTTTGGGTAATGGAATCACTCGCAGTAAATTTGAATTTAGAATTATTATGTATAAAGGTTCCTGAACGTTTTCCTGATGCACATGAAAACTTAGTGGAATTCTAAAGTATCAATCTGAAATGTCTGATTAGATCAGTTAGAAATCGATTCTCTTCAATAAAATCTTATTCCTAGAATCCGATCAAATTGCACAAGTTCATGTTATCCATATTGATAACTACAAAATGCATATGGAAAAATTTGGATTCTCTAGTGTGTTCCTTATATTTTGAAAAATTGTTTTATTGTTTTAACATGTGGTACACTGAAATCTATGGTTATTGTTTTATGGATGCACCGACTTAACGGTGATGGCTTATGTATTTGTATCATTGTATAAATTGTATCTTGGAGATACAGATTTGTAAAGTACAGCTCTGATCAAGCTGGAAAATTTTTATGGACCTAATGTGACTCTTAGGTAGGCTCTATGGCCCTGAAATCATTCTTGGGTAGGCCCTACGACCCTAATATGTGTTCTTAAGTAGGCCTCACGGCCCCAAAATCTATCTTGGGTAGGCTCTTAGGCCCTAAGATGTTCCCTTAGGTTAACTCTTTGTAATATGGTTTTAAAATACGAGTTTAAAAAGCTCCACTACAGTATGGTTTATGGGATTTTACTGAACTATCATTTGATTAGTGTACCTATTATAGTTTTATCGTACTGATGGAACACACTAGGCATCCTATTCGACCTCATGAAAAACGTGTGATAGTATGAAAGGTTTCTTATGAACTGAGATTCATGGCTTCTACTCGATGAACTTCTAAGGGAACCCCAGATTATTCTGCCCACTGGTATACGTATGATTCAATAAGGAAATTATGGTTTCCCATTTATCTGCATGTCATGTAGCATCATCTGGTAGTTATGTATTACTGAGCTTTTCGAAGCTCACTCTATTACTCATCTTTTCAGGCTAAAAAAATTGTACCAGTGCAGCTATCGACTTCAGTAAGGGAGTTCTTCCGGTGCTGTTTGCAGAGTATGGTACATGTGATTAGGGGGCATGTAATTGTATTTTGTTTTATATACGAGTCTGGAAATCTGTTTTATTTTTAAATAGTGACAAATGATTTTATAAGTTTACATGTTCTGATAAAAAGTTTTAAATTTTCCGCTATTTTTACAGTGGGTCGCTCCGGTGGCCCTAATGTGACAACCCAGATCGGATCGGGTTATCCGCATCGGTCTGGGGGGTTACACTAAGAATAACAACGATTCCTTTAACCACTAAGATAATTTGATTTGTGCAAATCTTATATATATATTTAATTGCTTTGAATCCTAGAATGAATTTGTGTCATAAATAACTTATATATAATACCTTGTATTTTGAGGGTATGTAATTCATTCATTGTATTGGAGCTTTACATGTCTTGTATAACTACTATTAGAATATTATTTTAATATAACTATTTAATAATACTTTCCAGTAATTAAAATGTATTTCAATATTTTAAAAATATTTAAAAACTGTAAAGTTATAATGATAATCTAATATAATATCTTCGTCTTCGGATATTGTGTATTCAAATTTAAGTATTGCACTTGAGCTTAATAGGGCACAATTACTTTATTCATATAATATATTTTTGTTCATTATATATATATATATATATATATATATGTATTATATGAACTTTATTTAATATTTTATCCATGCCCATAGTTTTGTTTCAGAGTGGTTTAACCCCTAATGAAACGGAATACTTCATATTGAGCTAAACAACTGCCACTGTAGAGCCTGCCTCCTTCCCTCCCATTACAGCACAACGGAAGATACTCACTGATCAAGTCTTCAAGACACTTCTTACAGTCACTCGGGGAAAGATCCCTCGTGCACTGAGTCAACCCGTAAACTCTCTGCAGTCCGTAGACCTGTAACTCACCAGCGGCATACAGTGTGCTGTTTCTAGAAGCTTGGTAAGTCAGTTGCTTCAGCAATCCTTCGGTCTGCAGATTAAACGCCGTCGGATTCGCCGCGTTGTTCGGGTTCTGAATGTAGAACTTGTTCTGAGTATCGATCTGGCCGAAGAAGTCCGTGTTTGAATACTTGACGAGGCAATCGTAATACCAGATGATTGCACCTTTGTTGTTGGGGCAACGGTTTTGTATCTCGGAGGCCGCTTCTCTGACGCAGGTTTCGCAGTCTTGGCTCGACATGTCGCCTCTGCAGAGGGCGAGGCCGTAAACTCGGTCCGGCGGCTGACCGAAGGAAGCATTGGCGAACCGTGTTTGAGGGGTTTGACTGGTAAGGTAGTTAAGGAGGTCATTCAAGTTGACTGCATAGGGACTGTTGGCAGCGAAATTGCCGGAGTTTGAACAGTTTTGGGATCCAAAAGCTTTTTGGAGAATGAGAGCAAGGGCTAGATGATAAACAAAGAAGATAAATCTTGAAGAAGACATTGTGATTTGTGATTTAGTTTGTTTGAGCTTTAGGAACATGAAGGCTGTTATTTATAGGGAAATATTTCCAGGTTGACCGAGGATAAAATTATGTAAATATAACCTTTGTTACTTACTTTAATTTGGAATTTATATATGTATAACGTGGTATTCAAAATATTTTACAATCCTACGAATTAAAAAAATTATTGTTACTCTTTGAGGTCCCGAATTAGAACACTATAAATATTAAGGGTGTGAGCATTTAATGCCAAATGGTTGAGAGTTATCTTTGAATAGATACTACCATGTATTTATCCCATATTAATAAAAAAATATTTTACAATTAGATATTTATCTTTTTAATGATGTAATTAGATGTTTTTATCTTTTTTTGGTGCAATAACATATAAATTTTGTTTTTTCAGTGTCATTTTTTTAATTTTTATTATATATGTTAAATTCTAATTGTTTCATGCTTATAATATTAATGTCCTTTAGTTCACGAAATAACATGTGTTATACTATTTTTAAAAAAAACATGTGTTATGCATTTAAAAGTTACAAATAAAAATTTTAAGTATAAATATACGTAATATAAAAAATAATTAAAACATTAAAAGAATATAGATCACGTAATTATATAAAAAAATTACGTACCACACATTACGTGTAAATATCAAAGTTAGGTACCGAAAGTTATATTTGTCCCTATTATGATTATGATTATAACACCTCTAATCTCAGAACATGCAATTTAACCGGATAATTTCAGTCCACAATCTTCCTAATAGTTTTTTTGGTATATTGAATTGATAACTGAATTGAATAAATAGAATTGTTAAGTTACCTTGTGAAATGAACGAGGGCGGTTGTATTACCCGAAATCCCGCGTCAGTAGTCCAGGTCAACCCGAGACCTAAAGTTAAGTTTAAAGGACCCTATAAGATAGTTGGATCAAGTTTAGGGTTAGTGGGTTGTAGTCAGGGCCGAAGAGAGTTATAGAAGGGTGATGAGTAATTGATGAAAATAAAAGTGAGGGACTAAAAATGTAGTTTACCCATAGTTCAAATTAAGAGCTGAAAACCCCTTTATTTTAAGAGTTTCCAACGTGAAAGCCATCCCTCATTTCTCACCAAACACTCCTCATCTTCTTCTCCTTCATTCTCCTTCATGTTTTGTGTTTCCCTTTAGGTTTGCGAAATGTATAATTTTTAAATAATTATATTAAATTAATTTTTAAAAAGAATTGTCCCTGGAAGTTGGTTAAATAATTCTGAAATCAATATTAATTAATTAAAAATTTTATATGAATTTTTATTTTATAATTATATATTATTTAAATTAATTAATATTTCGGTTTATTAATTATATATTAAATTAATTAATATTTCGAATATTAATTAATATTGATTTAGGTTTAAAAGTTATTGGATCTTAAATTATTAATTGGGTTTTAAATGGTTTGGGTTGAGCCCATATATTATATATAATATTTTTAATATTTTTAAATTCAAAAAACATTTACAATTAATTTAAATAATATATAATTATAAAATAAAAATTTTATATAATTTTTTAATTAATTAATATTGATTTAGGTTTAAAAGTTATTGGATCTTAAATTATTAATTGAGTTTTAAATGGTTTGGGTTGAGCTCATATGTTATATATAATATATTTAAAATTTAAAATTTAATTTCGGTTAATTAACCGATTTCGAACCGAATAAAGCGTTAATTGAATTCTAAAAATTTTCTTAACTGTTAACCGATCGAACTAATTCGGTGACCGACCAAATTAACCGAACTAATTCGGTTCTGTCGGTTAACCGAATTAGTTCGAAAATTTGAACACCCCTAGCTCCGGCCCCTGTAAATATTTTATATTCAATAGATTTTAATATTATAGTATTTTGATTAATGTAAAATTAAGTATGTGCGTTTGTTGTTGTATTTTGATCGATGAAGCTCAAACTTTCTAACCCACACATCTTTTACCCCCTAAATGCGATTTCGACTTCCATTTCATTGCAAAACGCTTTAATCTCCCTAATCGATAATGAACTCTTCGATTTCTTCATCATTCGATCTCTACGATCCTCCTAAACTATATGGTCGACTCATCATTCTCTTGTGATCCATTGTTCGGATTGGTCGTCAGTCCCCCGAACCTATGCCACGTCGGCCGTACGTTATGTTTTTAACGTGAGGTACTAAAATGAAACAAAATTAAACGTTAGATATATATTTAAAAAATGAAAGTTTAGGTACTAACACAGATTAAAACTGATAGTTAGGTACTAAATGCATAGTTTACCCAAAACAATTTTCATATCCACATGAACGTAATTTTTCAAGTATATTAGTAATGCAATAAAAGATTACTAAAATTAGTTACCTCTATGTATATCAACCTTCTTATTAAACCAAGCCCTTTTAAACCCTCCCCTAAAACCCCCTCTAAAAAAATCTTCCCTCTTTCGGATAACTGTGCGAAATGGCCATTCTGACCTGGACACCAATCTCCACGGCGGTGCCCATGGCGGTTTTCGCTTCATGGGACTCAAGCAAAGGCCCTCTTACAACCCCAACGCACCGCGAAAGCTGAAACCCATCCCGACCTTAAAGTTCAACCGTCCCCGCCATTACCCTCCCGACCCGAACAGACCCATCGGTTTTCGATATCCTCAAGCAGCGTCCCACTCAAGGTAACCCATTCGTCGTCATATCTTAGCACTGTGTAGACCAGATGTTTTGAGTGATTTCATTTCTTAATTAATAATTGTAGAATTAGCTACACCCCACCCATTGTGGGACGCAACATTGTATACTACAAAATTCTTGAACCAATACAGGAGTTTCTGTCAAAATTCTCTTTAAAGCTTCAAAACTTTCTTGACATTCAGAAGTGCAAACAAACGGTACAGGAGTTCTGTCAAAATTCTCTTTAAAGCTTCAAAACTTTCTTGACATTCAGAAGTGCAAACAAACGGTACATTCTTCCTCATCAACTTCGTTAAAGGCAGCACTATCATCAAAAAATTCTTAACGAATCTTCGATAATAACCGATAAGTCCAAGGAAACTCTGAACTTCGGATACATTCTTTAGAACTTCCTAGTCTATTATAGCTTTTACCTTTTGAGGGTCCACCTGAATCCCATCTGTGGAAATCACATGCCCTAGGAAAACCATTTCATTTAGCCAAAATTCACATTTGAACAATTTCGCATAAAGCTTCTTATCCCTGAGAATTTGCAAAACTATCCTCAGATGTGCGCTATGCTCTTCAGTGGATTTCGAGTACACCAGTATGTCATCAATAAAGACAACTACAAACTGGTCCATATAAGGTTGAAAAATCCTATTCATGAGGTCCATGAAAGCAACAGGTGCATTCGTTACTCCAAATGGCATTACGATGAATTCATAGTGACCGTATCTCGTTCTGAAAGCCGTATTCGGAATATCTTTCTCCTGAATCTTTAATTGGTGATAACCAGAACGTAAGTCAATCTTTGAAAATATTGAGGCTCCTTTTATCTGATCAAACAAGTCATCAATGTACGGGAGGGGATACTTATTCTTGATGGTCACCTTATTAAGCTGCCGATAATCAATGCAGAGACGCATTGACCCATCATTATTCTTGATAAATAACACTGGAGCTCCACAAGGCGACAAACTTGGTCGAATAAATCCCTTCTCTAGCAATTCTTGCAATTGATTCTTTAACTCTTGCAATTCTTTCGGAGTCATCCGATAAGGTGCCATTGAAATCGGAGTGGTTTCCGGCATTACTTCAATTTGAAATTCTACCTCTCTATCTGGAGGTAATCCTGGCAACTCAGTAGGGAAAACATCAGGGAATTCCCGGACTACTGGAATCTCATCTAATCATTTCCCTTTAGCTCTTGTATCTATCACATTTGCAAGAAAACCTTGACATCCTTGTAGTAATAGCTTCTTAGCAGACATTACTGATATTACATTTGTTAAAGGATTAAATCTTTCACTGATCACACTTATTTCTGTTCCTCTAGGACTCTTCAGGGTTAATTTTTTGATCTGTAATTAACATCTCCATAGTACCGGAACAACCAATCCATTCCCAAAATCACTTCAAACTCATCAAAGGGTAATTCCATCAAATTAGCAGGGAATTCAATTCCTTGAATCTTTATGGGACACCCCTTACAGACTTTGTTCACCTGAGCACTGTGCCCTAAAGGATTAGTTACTATAATCTCACTACTCGTAGCTTCTAAGGGGATCCTCAATTCCTTTACTAATTTACTGTAATGTAAGAATAATTAGAACCCAGATCAATCAGTACCAATACTAATTTATCGTACAGCTGAAAAGTATCTGCTATAATATCGGGATCATCCCGGTCTTCACTTGTCTTTAAATTGTATACCCGTGCGGTTGACCAAACTTCATGTTGAGCAGAGGATTCAGACTGGTTCCTTCCTCTGCCTCTTCCTCGTCCTCTCTGTGAGGCAGAACCAACTCTCTCAGATGGTGCAGGTTCACTAACCATCAACGGACAATCCCGAATAAAATATCCAGCATCCCCGCATCGGAAACAAGTCCCAGCAGCCATTCGACACGCCCCAAAATAGTTTTTTCCACAATGTTGACATTGTCTCGCTTGACCCTTATTGGATCTCACAGCACCAGATCCCATCGACTGTGTCTGTCTAGGTCTTGCCTGACTTGTTCCCCTAGCAGATGATGCAATTGATTCTGATCTAACTTGTGATAGAAATCATGAGTCTCTCCCTCTTTTTGGTGGTGTTGAGCTGGAAGAAGCACCCGTCCTCTTTGATGTTTGAACTCTTGAGTCCCCGAATCTCTCATTCTGAGCCCTTTCAAGAGCCTTTGCACGATTGATCACCTCCTGAAATGAGGACAAGTTTAATACTATCAGCGTTTCCTTAAGCCTATGGTGCAAGCCCTCCACAAACCATTCACACGCATCTTTTTCAGTAGGCACAAGCTCATATGCAAATCGACTCAACT